CGGAAGGTACAGCGTAACGGTAAGACTCGCTGCTTGCCTATCATACCTCGGTCGCTTAGGTGGTCGATCATCAACGGCGTGCACGAGAGCTTGATGCACTTGGGGTGGGAGAAAACGTTAGAGAAGGTGTTCGAACTTTACTGGTTCGAACACATGACGAAGTATGTGAGGCGTTTCGTTGAGAACTGCGTTACATGCAGAATCTCAAAGTCGAATTCAGGTAAGGTTCAAGCATCCATGCACCCTATTCCAAAAGTTGCGATACCTTGGCACACTGTGCATGTTGATGCAACAGGAAAACTCAGCGGAAAGAACGACAAGAAGGAATATGTGTTCGTTCTAGTCGACGCCTTCACAAAGTACGTATTGCTGTACCATACCCTGAATATAGACACTGCCAGCAGCATCAGAGCCGTGAAGCAGAGCGTCTCACTTTTTGGTGCCCCTACGCGGCTAATTGCGGATCAAGGACGATGCTTCGCAAGCAGAGACTTCAAAGAGTACTGTGAGTCTGTAAACATTAAATTACACCTCATTGCAACCGGAAGCTCTAGGGCCAACGGCCAGGTCGAGCGCATTATGAGCACTCTAAAAAATATGCTGACCGCTGCGGAAACCGGTAGCCGATCGTGGCAGGATGCGTTACCCGACGTGCAGCTCGCTCTAAATTGCACTCAAAATCGGGTGACTAAGGCAAGTGCACTGGAGATGCTCATAGGCAAGATTGCAAGGCCGCTGGAGTTGATGCTTGCTGACGACGAAGAACCTGTAACAGATCTAGAACAGGTAAGAGCTGAAGCGGTTCAAAACATGACTGACAGCGCTGGATACGACAAAAGACGGTTTGATAGCAGCAAGGCTAAAGTCCAGCCGTTCTCTGTTGGAGATTTTGTCCTGCTTCAGAACGAGGAACGCAACCAGACTAAGCTTGACCCCAAGTACAAAGGACCTTTTAAGGTTATTGAGGTGTTGGAAGGCGACCGGTACGTGCTGAAAGCTTTGAACAGCAATCGTACATACAAGTACGCACATGACCGTCTGCGGAAAATGCCAGATGGTATTTGTGAAATTGGCTATGCTGACAGTGACGACCATGACTCTGACCAGTAGTTTCATTAAGAAAAGGGCCATGGAACAATATTTTTTTTCGTGATGTTTGGTGAAATTCTCGATTTTACTTGTTTACTTTAAGTGTGTAAGTGACTTAGACGCTTAAGAGCGGTTGTCTAGAATGGGCTGAAATCGGACGCCTGTATGTGGTTGTCTCGAACTGTCGCTATCAGACACTGATAACTGAAGAGGTTGTCTTGAAAAGACAATGACACGATCAGACGCTGTGAAGGTTGTCTTGAAGTGTGCAACACGATCAGATGCTGTGAAGGTTGTCTTGAAGTGTGCAACACGATCAGACGCTGTGAAGGCTGTCTTGAAGTGTGCAATGTGGTTAAGGTGCAGCTGTCTTGATGTATTCCATCAGACGCCAGTCGGGGTTGTCTAGAAGAATACTATCAGACGCTCACGAGAGTATTTTTGAAATTATGTGTTGCTTGGTTACTGTTCATAGCCAGCCATGCAAACATTTGTAAACACTAGAATTCTTGTTTCTCCCTGTAAACGCTTAGCAAATTGGAATAGTTTGTATCGTAATTTAATGCTAGACGCAGTTATGATTACTTTTCCTGTACACCTTTGTAAATATTGCACTTTCTTGCATTTTTGTTTTTTCAAGCTAACCCTTACTTTAGTCAGGCTGACCGAGCAAGAGTTGTGCTACTGCTTTGAGTTTTCTTTTCAGATACCCCACACGAGGACGTGTGAAACGTCAAGATGGCCGTGTCGGAGCACGCGACAGTAGCGCCACACTTGGCCGGATCGGCTAGTTGTAGAACTTATGTTGTAATCTGTCAACATAGGTTTTCGTTTAAAAATCAAACCATAGGCAGTATCTTTTCTTTTTCTTTTATTGGTTGCGTCAAGTATCCGAACTTGGGCGTAGTCGATACGTGGCTGGCTGGTTGGGCCATATTGTGGCCATAGACTAACTGTCAATTTGTAACCTCATGTTGGTACTGTGGAAAACAAAAAATGAATGCTGCGAACCTTACGAGATTGACGTCCTGCCGTGGATGGAAAATCAAAAAAAACGTGAAGATTGATTTTTCAGATTGCGACGGCAAAACTGTCGAGTTAGTCAGCCCCGTGTCGAATTCGCCGCGCAACCAAAGTGTATCCGTTTGCATCTCGATTATCCTGATTATTCAAGAATTGTAATTGCTGGCAAATAATAAAAGCCTGATCATCGTAAATTACGTTTTATTTCTGGAATCTACGCCATTATGGAGCCTCAGCGCCTGGATGCCCCGTCATATACATATTCTGTAGTATTAAGAATACTTCGAAAAATCATCATTTTAGATATAATTTAGAATATATAAGTATTTCTTATATGACCTTGATGAATGTCGTGGTGGCCCGGAGGTTAAGGAGCCCGCTTCTCATGCATGAGGGTGTAGGTTCGAAACCTGGCAAGTACCAATGTAACTTTTTCCGAGTTATACGAGTATGTACTGTCAATGATTATTTAGACACCACTGACACACGGTAAAGGTAAACATCGTGAGAAAACCTGGACTTTTAATTTCTAATTATAAGTTTGAAATCGCCAACCCGCATTGAGCAAGCGTTGTTATTAATGCTCTAACCTTCTCCGTATGAGAAGAGGCCTTTGCTCAGCAGTAGGCACTTATAGGCTGATGATGACGATGATGATGAGATGACCTTCAAATGATATTATTCATAAAACTTCCCGCCTGACAGGAATATGGGGACATAGACCTATTAAAACTTGAAAAAGCCATGCTTCGGCAGGACTGGATCAGCACGACCAGAGTTATAAGACGACTTCGGACACGGACAGAAAACCGTCGTGAAACAATTATAGCGTTGTGTGAGGTGATCGGAGGCGCAGTTCTTTCCCTCTACACATTCCTCCCTAATCTCTAAATGTGCAAAATCTTAATCCCCAAATGGCTGGCAACGCACTCGTTACTCTTTTGGTGTTACGTGTGTAGCACATAGGCAGCAGATAGCTCGATATTATATTAAAAAAAGTAGATTATTGAAAAACAATAAACGAACAGAAAGTGTGATATAAGTTTTATTTTGCCGTAACTAAAATTCTATTAATAACCACTTTTCCTTGCCACGGTCGAATCATGCAAATGGATTGTATGCAATCCTGATACAGAATTTTAACCAGTATTGTATTTTGCGTACAGTCTACTTTTAGGTTTTCTATCTTTTGCCCATGTACCCCTAACGACAGTAATAGATCTTAGGATGACAATTGGAACGAGCGACCATTTAACGGCCATGCCAAAGCCTGGATGTTTAATAGTCTGTGATTTAAGACCGAATATTCTGTTCAAAAATCTATATGGAAATTGTATATGAAGCACTGACTTGGTACATAATTTAATTACATTACTATTGTTACCCTTGGTTAGATGAGGATATATCTAAGGTGGCAATGATATAAAGAAAGAACTCACTGCTTTACTGGATATACATGTCGAGACGACAAGGGATTAAAATTTTAATGATAGTTACCATCATTTGTTCCTTTTTAGTAACAACTTGTCTCTACATTGTTCTCACATAGGGGTACAATAATGTATAAAAATGTATTATTGGTGAATTATTGTAAAACAAATATTTAAAAAAAAAGAGTAACGATGGAGTTTCTTGCTCATTCTTCTCCATTCGAAACTACAATTTGGAACGAGCACCTAGCTTCACTGACGAACAGACTGACAGACTACTATTCTATTTTGACGTTTCAAAAGTACCTATTTATGGTTTAGTTGGAATAAATGATTTTGATTTGATTTGATACACAGGAGTCAAGTATTGTTTATCATCATCATGATTTATATGACGACGGCACGGTTTTTTGTGACTGCACGGTTGGTGCGGTGGCTGGGCAACTGGCTGCCGTGCAACGTGTCGCGGGTTCGATACCCACACGGAACAACCCTTTGTGTAATCCACAAATTGTTGTTCCGGGTCTGGGTGTCATGTGCATGTGAAATTGTATGTTTGTAACCGCACCCACGACCCAGGAGAAAATCCTAATGTGGGGCAAAGTTTTTTTTTTTTTTTTAAAGTTATCATCATCACTGGTAATCTGAAATTTTGTGAGAGGATAAATGGCTGATGATGATGAGTAAGTAATTCATTAATTAGTTGTAATTTTTCTTCTTCCTTTTATAAGTAATACAATTATTTTCTTATGTTATATGTAATGTATATAATATAATAACTTTCTTGATCGTATACTGTCTTAGCGTATGCTGTAAAATTTTTTTTTTTTTTTTGAAAAAATAAATCATCAGCACTGCTTAGCAAAGCACTATGAAGCAGATATGTAATCACCACGCTTGCTCAAGGTAAATTTTGCTAGATCTAGAATTCACACCCTCATCCATGAGAAGCGAGCATAGCCACATCACAACAGTAGCCTTTGCCTTGCATAACAACGCAAAATAATCAACTAAAATGTTTCTATAATAAGAACATAAAGCTATATACACACTGAAGTTTGCATGAGTCGTGCCTCCGGAACTGATTCTCCAGACTTTACTCGTATCAATATAAGCTCAGTAACGACCCGCATTCTAACTTGTATTTATGTGTGTCTGAGTTAAGTGTGTTCCACGGCTTACGTAAGTATTTTACCGTCTGTAATCCAAAATCATGTTCACGGACAGATACTAAAGTACGTAGCTAATATTTTGCATTCAGTTACAAATTTTTGGTATATACCTTTTTGTGGTATTTTATTTATGCATAATCAAGAAAATTTAAATTAAGGTTAATTTTCGTAAAAAAGGCAAATGTCGAAGACGTAAATAAGTGTGGGAGAGCAATGCTTTGGCACGAATGGGTCGGCTCGACCGGAGTGATACCATGCCCGATCCATCTTCCTACTCCTTCCCTAATCACAAAATCCCCAAAAGGCCGACAGGTTGGTATTCTGGTGTTGCGGTCAGATAATCCGCGTGCTCATTTGCTGTCCAAAAATAATATTTTTATAGAGTGCGAGAATTGACTAATTTTGGAATGCACTACGATACAAGTTGTTGTGATGCAAAACTTTGAAAGAAGCGGATACTATGATAGGATACATTAATAAAACACTTACCTGATCTGTTTGCGTCGTACGCTGACTCATACGCCCTAGTTGTGGAACTGCAGTCCCTTTCATCTTGATTAAATGTGCTGTAATACTCGTTCCGTTCCTGTATCGGAGTGGCTCGCTCGCGTTCCTTCCTCACTGATTGATGGGATGATAAGCTAATGCTCTTTCCATGTGTGCTCGGTGACTCCGCGCCATTCATTGCACTTTTGTTCGCCGATCGAGACTCACTTTTAAAACTGCGTTCCACACTATCCAGTTGATCGTCACATCCATTCAGAACTATCTTCTTTATAGTCCTCACTTCTTCAACTTCGCTTATCTTGTGCTCAGAGATAGTCGAACGTTTTGTAATTTCCTCCTTCGAATGGAAATTACTGTCGCTGATCGAGTTCGACATAGTCTTACTTTCATATTCACATTTACCATTCAACTTGCTTTCTGGCCGTAAATATTTTTCGAAAGGATCACTGTTTCTTTTCGTTTCAAACGGATTTTTATTGTTACTTTGTGCGTTATTTGGAAGACTTTGGTTTTCTACCTGATCTACATGATTTCTGTGCGAAAAATCAGATTTTTCATTGGCAGTGTTTGTTTCTGTATGACTATTATATCCATTTGTATTTTCGTTGTGATATGAATATGGAAGACTGCTAGGACCGGAGTCGTAAGTTTGCGCAAAAAATGTGGGAGATTTTAAATCTGAACCGAAGTCATTGTTTGACGCATTTTCTTTACATGTATTTCTATCTAAGCTGGAGATTGACGCCCTGCCGTTGGGTACGGGTAGTTTAGAAGAACTTGAATAATTCGAGGGTAAAGTCGTAAAAAATGGATTCGTTGGATGGAATCTAAGAGGTTCTTCGTTTTGTACCACTGACTTAACAAGTGAGGTTGAGTTAAGCGCCGCTGGGAGAGAATTTAACGAAGCCCGTATAGACGAAGGCGACGGTCGATTTTGCGGCGATTGTGATGGTCGGATGGTAGCATATACGGGAGCCTGGGGAGTTGCTCTGCCGCCTTGCACTTCAGCTATCAGTTGCGAAGGCCCTGAAAGAGCAATAAAACAGGTTACAGAGCGCCAAGTAAATAAAACTTAAAGTCTAGCTACAAAACTAAAAACGAACATCGCGGCATAAAGTTCATCTTGTCAATACATCTAAACGAAGTCGTGTCAGTCAACATTGAACTTTAGCGACGCAAACGTAAAGTTGACTTAGTGATGCAGTGCCTTTCAACATTTCCTGGCAAACTGAGGAGCGATAAAGTCCCCGCTTCGCAATGGGGCTCTGCATATGCAGACGTGCGATAAAGTAATACATGTCTACTACACAAAAGGAATATTCCAGACTGCGAGAAGTATTCCACCTTCCTTGATTTATACGCCAGCTCATATTTTGTCTACTAAACAAGTTATATTGCTTTAGTTTTGCATGAATGTGGAATTTAGATATCTTTTCCTTAGCTCTACCTATTCGGGTTTGTCTGAATCTCGTTCTCAGTTTGTGAAAGTGTTACAGGGGAAATATTTGTGTAGTGATGATAGCAGCGAGCTGAATTTTCTGCTTTATGAAATATGAATATGCGGAAACACGTGCTACCACTTTGCAGGACCGTTATGAATGAGAATGAGTGGAAATATTGACGACATTTACAATTTCGTGACGCTTACGATGTGTTACAGAATAAATTAATGTGCGATAGGCATTATTTTACCATATGTTCCTACAATATCATTTTAATAAACCTTTGTTATACTAGAGATAAAATAAAGCATTATTGAAGTAGGAAGATACTATTTACCAATGTTTTATTATTCTTTGTTCGCTAAAATACTTTTACGATCGATTACTAATGCTGTGTTATATTTCTCTAACTCGAAACCTGTGATTTTTTTAAACAGATCTGATTCACAGTAACTTGTTACAGTAAGAGAATGCAAATAAGAAACAAACAGTTATACCTGAAGTTCAATGCAAAACACATTCGATCAATAAATAAAGGAACCGCTATGAATACACAAGTTAAATAAGTTTAAAACAAATCGATAGTGAATTGGAATTCGTTGCTTGTACATGGTTGTTGATCTTATACTGAACAAAATTATAATAGTACATCGTCGGTAATGAAATTAAGAGAAAAATGCCATAAAAAACAAACAATTTAAGTAACATTGATTGAATAAGAGTAACCATGGAGTTTCTTTGCTCGTTCTTCCATCGGAATCTACACTTTGGAACGAGCAAATAGCTTCACTAGATGACAGACTGAGACACAAAACTATTTGATGTTTATTCTTTTGTTTGACGTTCAAAAGTGGTCTATTTACAATAAATGATTTGATTTTGACTTTGATTTTAAAATATAATGACAGTCACTGCGCGACGCGCATGCTGATCATGAATCAGAGTCCCGTGTGAATTGAAAGAAGTAGTCCTTTTCTTAGTTAAATTCACGCAAGAAAGTCGCTATTTCCTATCAATAAGCATAGTACGCCTACGATTAAGTTGTTATTTTCAATTAAATATAGTACGTAGTACGTAACATCATAAATCAAAACTATATAATACCTGAACATATACACTTTAAGACCACTATTCATTAGTTATGTAATAAGAAGTGCTCCATAACCTTTCAAAGGATACAATTCCAAACTTTGAGCTAATATAAACAATTATCGAAAAATTAATTATTATGTTTTCGGCTTACTCGCGTAATTGTTTGACGAGATACTCGACTAGTTTCATGATCAGAAAAAACCAATAACAAAACGATTTTACGATTTGATTCCGCCATCCCCATTTCACCTTCGGACATCCCGGCGTACGGCAAATTTCCACCCTTACGTTGTTAAGACACCTGCGGCCTGGACTAAGCGTTTTGCCTCATCATTTATACCGCGTACATCAAGGGATTGGACTAGTTTGCCGGCTGCAGTCTTTCCGTCCAAATATAATTTAGATGTCTTCAAGGCTAGAGTGAATAGGCTCTTAATAAACTAGTGCGCTTTACCATCAATGATTGCATCACTGCTTACCATCAGGTGGGATCGCAGTCAAGCACTAGTTTATATCAAGTAAAAAAATAAATAAAAAAAACAGTCATAAACCTTCAGAATATATAATGCCGTCACATTATTACTGAAGATAGAATACAAATATGACAGAGTTTGTCCATTAAGCCAGAGATATCTTCGACTAATCCTGCGTAGGATCTGAGCGTCGTTGCATGGTTGCATCTAGTTCAGTCAGTTGGAAATATTCGACGAAAGGCTCAGCTTTGAACAAACTTCGACATACAATGTTAGTGTGGACTAACTAAGATGCCATCTATTATTATTCAAATTCCAATGAAATCGATTTTTATAGCTAAATCAAGTGCTATTGACAAATCTATATTTCATATAAGTAGGAATTTAATTTTTCTAAGTAATTGTCAAATATCGATGGTAATAAGTGTGGGAGAGCCATGCTTCGGCACGAATGGGTCGGTTCGACCGGAGTGATAACACGGCCTCACAGAAAACCGGCGTGAAACAACCACAGCGTTGTGTTTCGCCGTGTGAGTGAGGTTACCGGAGGCCCAATCCTTCCCCTTCCCGGACCGTTCCCCAATCCCTACTACTCCAAATCCCCAAACCCCTAATCCCTAAAAGGTCGGCAACGCACTCGTAACTCCTCCGCTGCGGGTGTCCTTGGACGGCGCTGATTGCTTACCATCAGGTAATCCGTCTGCTCGTTTGCCGACTTATTGCATAAAAAAAAAATTGTAAATGAGACCTTCTGCTCAGTCGGGACACTGCACATAATATTTTTTTTGTGTAATATGAGGCTAAATTTATTTATTTCATGACTTCTATCATTTCCTATACTGAATTGTTGCTTATATTTCAACCATTATATCATACATTTAAAGTATGATTGTTGCATTATAGACATTTAAAATTTACTACACGATTCCTAAATATAAAGTTCTAATGAGCGACATACAAACATAGTACAGGTTTTAAAGGGTGGGAGAGCCATGTTTCGGCACGAATCGGTCGGCTCGACCGGAGTGAAAGCCTAACAGAAAACCGGCGTGACACAACCATAGCGTTGTGTTTCGCCGTTTGAGTGGGGTTACCGGAGGCCCAATCCTCCCCTGATCCCTAATCCCTAATAGGTCCTCATCCGTTGCGTGTGTCCATGGACGGCGGTGATTGCTTACCACCAGGTAAACCGTCTACTTGTTTGCCGACCTATTACATAAAAATACGTACCAAATATTTTAAATTTTAAAATCGAAACTAAAATTGCTGTAGCAAGCACCATTAGCCCCTCTTGTCACAATTCATTAATTTAAACCTACGTTGCACTAATGCATCACTAAGTGCACAAAAAATTTTGGACAAATTTCCGCCATTTTTCGCCGGCACTAAAGCATGTCGATGCCAATACGAATAAAATATACGACAAAGTGTGTTCAACGCTCACTCGATGTTTTTGCAGAATTATAATATAAGTACCTATCTTTTATAGATTTAAGAGCATTTATGTCGCGTGGGAACCCATATAAACATTATTCTAAAGTGTACTTGTGTTAATTAAAATATAAGTACCAAATTTTATTAAAATTGGTAAGGCAATTTCCATGATTTTGGACTTGAAAGAATGTAAAAATAACTTGTGTGCCACGTAAAAGCTCTTTAGAACCTAAATAGTGTAATTATAAAGATGACCTAACTTCGTATAAGGACCTGATTTCGAATTGCGTTTCTACGTGTGTGTTTGGTTACCGGAGGCCCAATCCTTCCTCTGCCCCTTCCCGCCCCAATTCTTAAATCGAAGCCTTAGTCTCCAAACGGCAGGCAAGGCCTTTGGAGAACTCTTTTCTCGTGTAGCGGGTGTCGATGGGCAGCGCCGATTGCTTACTATCAGGTAATTTGAAAGGTCGTTTGCGACCCTATCACATAATAAAAGTGACCAGAAAAAACCTTTACGAGACAACCCTGTTTTTAGTAGTTTTCCCGTAACTAGCACTATGGCCTCTTTTTTACTTGAAACCTCAACCTTGTTGCATAGTCATAACTTACGAAAGTCCCTAAAAACTTACTTTTCAACTCGGATCCTTTGCCAATTGATCTTCTTCTTGGTGACACCTCCCTGTCTCTGGCGACAAGAAAACTTAGATTAAAACTTGAGAATGAAGTAAAACTTTTACAAAATAATGGAATTCAGTATTATTCCTTAGGTTTCCTAGTAAGGCACGCCAAGACAAGTTAACGAATACGATCAACGTTCGAGCAACGAGGCTTGATCAAAAGTTTTTTAGCTTTGAAATGTAAATTGCCTGCTATCAACAAAATCAAGCTTAAGTACTTTTCTTCTTCGAACTATTTTGCCTCATAAATCTTAAACTAGAGAAAAATTTGGCTTTACATTTTTTATACAACTTAAAATCTTCACTACATTCCGTCAAGAAAAGAGAATTACAAAAATAATTGTAGGAAGTTTCGCACATGTGCAACCAAAAAGTTTTTAAGTTTAATAACGGGTTAGACCAATATACTTAAACCTCTCAAATTTCAAAATTATACAACCTATACTACAACATTTCTGAACAAAACTCAACAATAGTAAATTGCAATATGCATTCAGTTATCCGAACCCGCCAACTACGCAGTTGCAAAGTAAATTAAAGCTGTCAATGTCCTTAGGGAGATTACAAGTATGGACTTGTGTCTAACTCGGGACACATTTTGCGATTCCCTATGAGAAACGTAAGTGGTCCAATTTATGTCACGACTAATCTACAAACGGTCCACTGTTCGTTTCTCGTGTGAAATGGCGAAGAGTGATCGGATTATCGGAGTGCAGAATCGAAGCTGGTCCGTCTGAGAGTTGGAAGCCGGAAATTTGAGTGGAACGGGGTAATGTGAACGATATTTTGGTCATGTTTGCCTTTGTGCTATCATTTCTGAGAGCTCTAGATTTGAAAAATTGTTTGGGATGTGTAGCCAACCAAGGTTTATATTAATAATACTTAATTGTAATGTTTTACAATGTTAATAATATATAAATGTCTATTACCACACCTCGAGGACTATCAAAGTTTTGCGAGTCCCACATTGATTATCCAAGATTCATTTTAATATTACAATGTGTCACCAATGGCAATAACAGATAAATGTCCATTACTGGCAACGCACCTCAAAGACTATTGTTTTGTGATTAAAAGTCCTTCATAGATATTGTATAAAATATATTTTAGTCGATACTTTGATCGCTCTTCCTAAACCGTCATGCTCGTGACCTGACCTTCTCAGGAAATATCATCATATAATTATTAAAGATTGTATGATGTTTCCGATATTTAAAAACAAATAGTTAATAATAGTACATATATTATAGTCTTCCGTATCAGTTTAACGACTTACTCATTCAATCCAAGTCGGAGTACAGGCCCAGCTGATCTGAGCATGGCGTGAGCATCAGCGTTGCTCATACTCTTTGTAGGCCGGCCATTGATCGATGAGATGATATCGCCCTCTCGAATGCCACTCAGCGAGGCTTTCCGTCCTGGGTTCACCTGGAAAGAGGGAAATTGGATAATTAGATGGTGTGTCAGTGTTCCACAATGGCAAAAGTTAATACAGGTTTGTTCATGTACTAAATTTTATACAAACAGAGCTAAATAACATTTCTTCTTTTCTATATTAGCAAAAAATCTGCGTCTGTTTCGACATTATGCGTCTTTTACAACGCCTAGACATTCTAGTGACCAGCGATTCCATTAGTCTTATAATTAGCGAGCGAGATACAAAACGAATGCACATCGAAAGAACATATTTTTTAGCTTCCGCCAGGCACTTTACAAGCAGTATTCGGAAAGTGTTAGGGTAAAAAGTAGCCTAATGTGTTATTTCACTGCTATAATCTGTGCCAAATACCACTCAGATTGACCAACTTTCGTGTTAACAATATAAAAAGGATTTGTTGTTTTAATACATAAATGCATAATAATGCATATATAATGCATAGCAGCTTACATACTAAACAAATAGATAAAAAAACTTAACATCAAGCAGCCAAGTTTTAGTTTGTAGAAAAATACTGATTTGCACACAAATTATTAAATAATACTAGCTTTTGAAAGCAACTCCGTTCACGTGGAATAGTGATATCCTGCAGATTTTTGTTGTTAAAACTATCCTATGTCCTTTCTCGTGTTCCAAATTATGTCTGTACCAAGTTTCACAGAAATCGGTTAAGTAGTTTGGGCGTGAAGATAAGACAGACAGACAGACAGACAGAGTTACTTTCGCAATTATAATATTGGTTTGGATTATAACGAAATTTTAGGTTCGGTTAGGTTAGAATAAACAAAAAAAAATATAGATTTACTTACTTTTACGTAACATACATATAGTCAGTCAGTAAAACAGGTAAATATGTAACAGTATAATACCTACAATTGATTTACTTGGTGAGCAAATTTAGTGTGCATTTAATTTTTTTTTTTTGTTACTCCATATTTACTGTTAACGTTGTTGTATTATCTGTAATTAGTAATACTAATCATTGTCGCACTAGAACTGTCAATGTCATCATATCATCAATGTCATAAAGAAGGTGGCCGAGAGAGTGTCGGCCATTGACAATGTAACTTAGGTGCAGTGAGCTGCCCGACTGTGTACTATGCAATTAAAATCAAGTATCCAAGATCCAAGTCTTTTAATCATATTACAAAAGTATTAAATACCACCCATATATGAAAAGCATAAGAAATTTTTTAGCTTTATTTTGTTTTCGGATTATTTCTCTATTCTAGTGTGTATGGAGCCTAAGTGTCGGAAGTGTGACTGCACTTCACACGTCGTGACTCGATCGACTGCAGCTCTCATACGAATGCCTATTTGTAGTTTCGTAATATATGATGATTCATAATACCAGAAGCTAATCAATAATTTCCTTTGCTTAATTGCGTTTTCAAAGCTGTCTCTAATGCTATTGTATTCGAAAATTTTATAAGCTTTTTATCGAAAAAAAATAAGTGTATATTTTTTTCCAAATCACAGTATATTCGACCAGACCCGTTGTTAATAAAATGTGTGATCACTAAAATATTTATAAAGAAAATATCATTTATTTATTATTTTTGTTTTATGTAGATAATTTATAACAATATCTTTACTGAATTTGATTAAGACACTGTGGGTATTTAATATTTTTTGCACAAATCTACACTAATATTATGAAGATTTAAAATTTGTAAGTTTATATGTAGGGGGTTATCTTTGGAACCGCTAGTCCGATTGGCAAAATTCTTTCATTGATAGATAGCTACAATGTTCCTGAGTACTATAGGCTACAAAACATCACGCTTCGATCAAATGGAGCTGAGCAGCGGGAGAAACCGCGCGACAGCGAGACACGCATCGAAAAGTATCTAAGACTAACTACGTCTAAGATACTTTTCGATGCGTGTCTGATACCAAATTTATTAAAAGATTCTTTTTACTCTTTCTTTTTTCGTCTTCGAGGCTCGTGCAGGGAAACTCGTCATAAAACATCTCTTCTCCAGGGTATGGCGAGAGGAACTGTCAAACTCTTACCGACTAATACCTCCGCGTTCCTTTTTCTGCGGCAGACCTAGGCCGCGGTACCTTATAGCGCTTGTCCCACGGTCCCGGATAAGTATTGGTTGTAAAGGAACTGCCGAAGGACTTATAGGTGCATACTGTAGTACCTACAAATCGTCTTGTGACTTATGTCGATCACGACATGATGATGATGAATCATCATTATCATCAGCCTATAAGTGTTCTCAGTTCTCATACGGAGAACGTTTAAGCATTAATCACCACGCTTGCTCAAAGCGGGTTGCCGATTTCAAAGTTATAATTAGAAATTATAAGTCCAGGTTTCCTCACGATGTTTAACTTCACCGTATGTCAGTAGAAAGAACATATAACTCGGAAATAGTCACAATGGTACTTGCGTGGTTTCGAACCCACACTCTCATGAAAACATTTTTCTTTCTTTCTTCTTTAATGCATGAGAAGCGGACGCCTTAACCTTGGGGCCACCACGACTTACTTACGGACCGGACTTATGTCCATCTTCACGTAGGTTCAGACAGGCCATTCAGTCCCCAGATCAGATGTAAATTTAGGTAAAGGATTGCACAACACGCTTGGTATAAACACAAAGAGATTGTAGTTGCCTAGACTATGGTCACTGGCATTCATTAAACATTGTCCAACTGCGCGGACGAGGCGTACAGATGTAAGCGCCTGCCAGAATACTCAGAGCACTGCGATAGTGGCGGAATTATTTGCTATTATTTTTTTGTGTCGTAAATGAAAATGAGGGTTATGATTAAATACTTTAATACGTGTTGATCCCAAAGGACTCATATTGAAATCAAATTGTAAAAAAACTTTTTATGTTCATAAAAATGTGTATAAATATCTTGGAATAAATATAAACTTCTTTTACTTCCAGATCAGTGTATTATTTTTACCATCTTACAGTTCTCAGAAGCTTTGGTACACAAACGAAATAACAACTCAAAATAAAACTGTTATAATATTATTACTTAAACGAGTACCTATCATACTTACGTAATATCCCACGTGAGTAAAAACCGCAAACATAAACAAAAGACGTACTAAAAACCGCAAACTAACAAACAAAACCCTACGTATTCAATATTACACAACTATACAATATTATTGGCAAGCGTAATAAAAGGCGAAGTTACAAACCGCGTTGGGTTCCCTTCGCCTCGCAGCCGGGGAACAAAACTTCAACATATCCGGGAATTCCGGGTACGCTCGCGAACAAACACGCACTCACAAAACACTCAACACACGTACACACGCGATTTCACGTTGAGAAAGGTCATTGTTACCACCCTTATCTACGACCCTAGGAAAAAGGAAAATTTTCCTCGTACCTATATGAAAATATTCGAATATGAACTTTGTTTTGAAGGTAGCTTTATTTGTGTCTACAGTTTTAACTATCGTTCTAAAACCTTCTCGAATAATCACTAAAGTATCACTTTATTTAGTCGTGAAAACTGCATCGAAATCCGTCCAATAGTTTTCGAGTTAATCGCGAACATATAGCACGGAAACATTCGGTGTAATATAAAATTGGTAATCTCTCAAATACGCGAAGAAAGTTACACACACGATACAAAGCCGAAGAAGGTTGCCCGCAAACTAACTAATTCCGTCGAAACATTATATGGGCATTATAGAAAATGCATGCGCGTTAGACTCGGCCATTGTTATGTTGCCCATCACCCGCTTCGAATATTAATCTTGTCGAAGGCCCGGCGAAGGCGTAACACGGTCTTAAGTCATGCGATCGCACTAAAGGACTCCGATCCCCAATAGGTTAATGAACTTTTGTTTCACATTGTATGGAAATAACATGAGATTAGGATATAGGCAAATATTTCAAATAACTTTATTAATATAAAGGCTACTCAATACTACTATTTGGTCTATAGTATTAAACTTATTGTTACGAAATTTTTTGTGAGGTTTTTGGTTTTGATGGTTTCGAACTTCAAACTCTTGTACTTTAATCCTTAAATTCCCAATGTGGTGCTTAACGGAAGGTGCTTGGGTTGGTTGTTTGTTGACATATAAAAAAAAACTTTTTGCCGTCCGTACAAATGAACACTATTTCATGATTTATTCATTATTTACGAAATAAGGTGGCTTTCACCGTGGAGCCTTTGATGCTTTTTTCGAAATATCAAAAACTAGAGTTTTCATTTAATTTATATGAAATAACACATGTGATATCAACTTGTATTACGTCAAATAGTATACCTATTTTTCTTGTAATACATCGTTAAATTATTAAAGTATTTTTAAGTTTTCATACATGTTGAAATAATTTCTATTTGACCGAGAAACTATGCAATTGGTATTACAGTAACATTCTGTAATACAGACATGAATAACAACATCTATTTTGCAGATCAAAAAATTCCAATATAATAGTTTTTGTCTCCACCTCTTTTGTGACGAGCAAACGAATGTCGTGGTGGCCTGGAGGTTAAGGAGCCCGCTTCTCATGCATGAGGATGTAAGTTCGAAACCTGGCAAGTACCAATGTGACTTTTTCAGAGTTATAAGTACTTTATATGATTATTTAGAAACCACTGACACACGGTGAAGGCAAACATCGTAAGGAAACCTGGACTTATAATTTCTAATTATAAGTTTGAAATCGTCAACCCGCATTGAGCAAGCGTGGTGATTAATGCTCTAACCTTCTCCGTGTGAGAAGAGGTCTTTGCTCAGCAGTGGGCACTTATAGGCTGATGATGATGAAACGAATTACTTAAAAAATATCAAAAGTAAACACTAGACTGACAAGAACATGATACAATTTACCCCTACCGTGAAAATATTACTCATTTTTCACACCAGTAAGTAGCAATATTTTATTTTATAATCTCATATACCTCAAACAACATAGCACGACCACAAATTCAATTTCGAAAACTGAATTATGGAAATATGTCCACATAGCTGCTAATCATCGAGGTCTATTAGTTCCACGGGCTAGTTACGGGGGCTGATAATGACATTTCCGTATAAATGACCCCGAAAGCTATTACTAGATAGCTATATTCTAGTTGGTTGTAAATACAGAACATAGGGTTGTAAGTTTATGCTTATTACATTGGGATCAATGTTGTATGGATTAAAAAGTTTTTACTACATCTACAAAATGTATTTGGGAGAAAGCAATGCCATAAACAATATATTTTGTTATTTTATTGTATATCTTTTTTTAATAAGCTTTTTTTAACACCACTGACGAAAGGTGAAGAAAACCATTGCGAGGAATCTTAGAACCATTGCGATAGTGTCAGTTGTAAGTTTAACGAACGGTGAAGGAAACCATCGTGAGGAAACCTGGACCTAAAGTTTATTATTATAAGTTTCAAATCGCCAATCCGTCTTGAGCAACCGTTGTGATTAAGGCCCAAACCTTCTTCATGTGGGAAGAGTAAGTACTTTGCTTAGCAAAAGGAACTTATAGGGTGATGTTGTGATTTGTTATTCCAGACTATAAAAGATCCCTATTCAAATTTAATTCTGATCCGATCAGTAGTTTTTATACAAAAGAGTAACAAACATCCATCCATTCTTACAAACTGACACGTTTCTAATATTAACGCGATAATTAAAATTTGATGAGTGAATACCTTTAACACAGAATACAACAGAACTGTACCAAATTACTAAACGAATTCTAATTCCATTATACAACTGGTTCCTATAAAACTTAACCCTGTTTAACTTTTGATGTTTCCAATAACAAAACCCATAGACAGAAGAAACTTTTAAAGTCGTGTATAGTTCTACCTAAGTGTACCTGTACCATTTTAGACCAAACGAATCGAACAAAGAAATAAGGTAAAAATGGTTGCACTCGAGCGTTGAATAAGGAAAGAAGAAGGCTTGTGTAGGGAAATTCAAATGGTAAGTGCACTCCATTGTTCCACGTCCATGTAAGTCGGTGCAAAAGCCTAACCATGTTGAGACGTTCACTTAGCTTGTAGATTAATAGCATTTCTTTAAAATACTTTCTTTCTGTGGATACATAGGTATCGTTTCATAGTACCTGATTAAAATATCGTAATTTTTTGTTCTATGCGAATCTTTATTTTGAAACTAATATTTAGCTTTACTGAAGTCAAATTCATTCAATAAATGTTTTGATTACACTTTAACTCTGAGCAATTACGGAGGTTTTTCAGAATTATAGAATTACTTAAAATCATTAGATGAAAAATGTATAAAAATTTACACTTAACTCTATACAATGTATTGTGACTTTGTCTTGCGGGGTATAAAGAAAGCAATTATTTATTAAGGTAGGTACATATTGTTATGTAAATGTTTACCTAACTAGTTAGTTAAAGTGTATAAATATTGAAAATATTATACAATTATACACATAACAAGATAACTTATCCGACGTAGTTAAAAGTTGATAGAATATTGGTTGAGAAAGAATTTATGTAATACATCTAAGTATGTAGAAGTCTAAATTGGACAAAATAAAATAATATACTAAGTTAAAAAAAAACACATATCGTGTCATTTTTTTTTTATTTAAATGAATTACATGGGTGTGTTCTTTTTTTCTTACTTTAGAACGATACACTTATTTATGTCACATAGTGAAAGGACACCATTAATGTAAATTTTATACTAAGCTGTGACGTAAGCCTTCTACTCCTAAACATCTCTTTTCTATGTCATACGTCGGCAAACGAGCCGACAGATAACCTGATGGTAAGCAATCAGCACCGCCCATGGTCACTCGTAATACCAAAGGAGTTACTGACATGAAAAACATTAATATAAGTACTAAAAATTGAATGTTGGTAATGTAAAATATTTTGTTCTTATTTGTATTAATAAATTTAGAATTATTTGACCAAATCAACTGACTAATCATGAACTACATAAGTAAACATTATTTATTTTATTTCCTTCTATTTTTAAACTATCGAATATGGAAACTTTTAACAAAATACAAAACTACCATTGTAGTACATTCTGCCTAACAGACAGAAACCTCTACTGTATAGGGAGTGAACGTTTAGCGGGTATATAGAAACTCCTTCACAGAAGCCTCGCGTCTTCCAGATTGTTATAATTAAATGCACAACTTTAAGCGTTCTTCGAGTTCGCGTCTAGCACTTGATTCGTTTTAATCTTTGAATTTTATTTTGTTGCGTTTAATAATATTGTAAATTAATTAAGTGTAATGTGGATTTATTATCCATAGATTATGTTTTATGTGAATAAATTTAAGAAAATTACGCAAGAAGTAACCATCGCCATCACAGCCTGTAAATGCCCATTGCTGAGCGAAGGCCTCTTCTCAAACTGAAAAGGTGTGAGCTTTTGATGCTGCGCTATACTATATACCGCGCTTGTTCATGTTGGATTGGCGATTTCAAAATTATTATTAGTCCAGGATTATAATTACCAAATGAGCATTAAGTATTTAATTACGTTTGTGAGTGGTGGATAAAACTAGGAATAAGTCCATAGTTACTTGCTAGGTTTAAAGCCTGCGCCTTCAAACATATTACGAAATCCGTATTTTATTTATAATTACTAAAAATAAAAACACCAGTAGGTAATTGGCGAAAATAATGTAATATCATACTTCCTGACCTTTTATATAAACGTGTTATGTTACAAATGATACTGCCAGCAACAACCAACCACCAATTATTAACACCACACGAAACTTCACAACGAAATTCCAAGAATAAACAAATAAACAAAAAAAAGCACAGTATACTACCGTCGAAACTTCCAGAAAATCGGAAAGCATTTCGCTTACGGGGAATCCATTATAGTATTGATTTATACAGTTACTAGTTCCATGGAATACAAAGGAAGAGAGGTTAAAACATGATAGAAGTGCAGGGAACTACAGAAATAGGATAAATTGGACTCAGGATTCAAGTGGATTGGATATTAGGTATGTTTCCAATATCGTGAGGCCAGGCACGTGCGTCGCGGAGTCAGGAGTAACACGTGTCCTGCATCCGACAACGCGCTTAGTTACTGCCCAATAACGGTAGACCCTCAATAGTTTTTTCTATCATACATTTTTTCTAAACATCTCTTAATGTTGTAGGGAGATTAGAGGGGTCTATTAAAATGGTGTTTCGTGTTGTTGGCCCTTTGTAAAGCTTTGTTTGTTGCCTGTACTGATTTAGTTTTAAAACAAAGTTCAACTTTGGCCTTATGACTCGTGTACCAAACAATATAAAATTTTGTTCCATCGACGTAATCAGAAATTAAAACGTAAGAATACCTAAGTACCAAACTTAAATTTACAAAAAACTTGGCACGCCACTTTCAAAAGTAGCTACATTAATTTCATAATCGCACGCGATACCATAATAGTTCTTAACATTAAACAATTGCAATTAAACACGAATTATACAATTTAATTAATAATTCCAGACACTTCACCACCCACCCTTCGTCGCTGCGTTTTATGCGTGTTGCGATAAACCACGCGAACTAAGTTAAGAGAACCATAGAGTATTAATATTATGGAGTACTGTCTGCATACATAGAATAAAAAAAAATGCCATTTGTAATCTTTATTTATTTAATTCTGCTGTACGTGTTTATGTCATTAAACTCCTCCTAAACGGCTTGACCGATTTAAATCAATTATTCTGTATGCATTTGAGTGGCGCCCTGGATGGTTAAGATTCGATTCAAAATTAGATTTGTTAAAATAATTTACGACTTTAATGAAATCAAATAAAATCTAATGTCTTTTAATAATGATAAGATTTTAACAGATTTTTCAACAACTTATAGGCCCTGTTGGGCACCGCAACTTCCTAGCTTCCTTAGAGTATCTTACTTACTTTTTTCAGTCTTTTTATAATCAAAGAACAGTATAAGCCTTGCTACAAAAGAACACATGAACACAATATGAAATAATGAATTATTTTCCATATTGACTATAAAAATAGCACTTTTATACGTCAAAATTAATAATAAAAAAAACTAGACGAATGGCACTTTCTATCTGACTTCACTGCCAAGAAATGAAAAAACTCATAGAAACTCAAAGAGTTTGACTTTTGAGGAACATCGTATTCCTTTAAAGTCAAACTCTTTGTTATGGATACTCCATATGTCACTATAATCTGTGACAGGATGATTTTCAAAATGAGAACGTGGCATTATGGTACGCGTAAGTATAATTTACGCGCGAACAAACGACAAAGCGTTGTGAACGTCGCAATCTCTGCGTAATGACGCTTACCCTTTGACTCTTTAGTGACATCCTGTAGACTGTAGCTACACCCTGTAGAGTAGAGGGGACTCTGAAGCTCAGAGGTGAAACTATCTACAGGTGGATTCATTTTATAGTTGTTCTGTTTTTTTAATATTATGGCGTTTTTTATCGATTGGTTTAAGTTGTTGGCTTTGTAATAATAACCAAATTTACTCCTTACATAAAAAAATTACTTAAATGAAAATGAAAAGATCCCTGGACCGTACGACACGTACGTTGTTTTGGGTCTGGGTGGCTTGTGTATGTGAATTTGTATGTTTGTAAACTTATCCACGATACAGGAAGAAAAGCCTAGAGTGGAGCAATGCTTCTTTATAAAAAAAAATTGAACATAAATAAACAATAATTTTCATTTAACAATTCCAGTAACGAAGGGCCTAGAAATGAAAACGTTCAATATTCAAGAACTTTAAATAAAACCTCTTTCAGCGTTCCTGATTATAAATTTAAAACTATACGGAACAGCCATGTGCGTTGTATTGTAAATTAAAATTGTACGTTGCATTTTGTCGATGCAAAATAGATAGACCCACTCGGTAAATGCAAATTATTTATTTTTAATCCTGTACAATGGTACACACATGCAAACTTTCATAAAACCGGCGTGAAACAACCATAGCGCCGTTTTTTTGTGAGGGGAAAATCATCAAATGACTTCTCCCGCCCAGGGTCGGGCGGGAGGGAGTGTCAGACTCTTACTGACTAAAAACCCCCTTGCTCCTTTTCGTGCTCTGGGCCGAGGTCGTAGTGCCTCATTGCGCTTACCCCGCAACCCCGGTGTTTTACGCCGTGTGAGTGAAATTACCAGAGACCTAATCCATAACCCTCCCCATCCCCTTCCCAAACCTTAATATCCGAAATCTTTATCCCTAAAACGCCGGCAACGCACTCGCAATTACTTTGGGGTGTCCATAGGCGGCGCTGATTGCTTACCATCGGGTAATCCGTCTGCTTGCTTGCCGACCTATACAATAAAAAAAGATGTCACCAACACACATAATCTTTGCTTGTTACTTGTATTAAGAAAATAAAAAGATGATTATGATGTTGTTATTAGGAATGAAATTTAACAAATATACTTTCCACTGTAACAGTTCTGTATACCAAAACCAAGTCGAATGACCTTTATGTAGTTACCAACTCTGAACTAAGGTCTATGTGGTTAAAATTTCACCGCTCAAATACAAGCATTCACTCGAGTTGACTTACCGCGTCTATTAATTTTAATATTCAAACTTTTGTGAAAACTTTCGTATCCTTAGAGTTTGGAATTATTCAGAACGGGGTTTCATTTACAACTTTTCAACCGACACTTATGTTATCTAAATGATATTTAGAAACATCTTTGTTTATTCAATCACAAATTGTTTTAATTAATTTATAGAAATTAATATTATAAAGTTGAAGAGTTTGTTTGTTCAGGAACTACGAGTTCAAATCAATCTAATTAAATAACACACTAGTATTTGAGAAAAGGTCTACAAGACGTCACGCAAACAGCAGTGATTTAAATTCTACACGGGTTTATTTTGTAAGTGGAACTCCCCAAATGACTTCTCTTGCCGGAGATACTCGTAACGCGAGAGTCTATCAGACTCTTACTGACTCAAAACCCCCACGTTCTTTCTCCTGCTCGAGACCATATTGCGCATGCTCTGCAACCTCGTCTTATTGGGCACAGTTTGAAGCGGTTTAATAAGAACATTAATAAGTATGGGGCCAAACATGGTTCAATGGGAGAGCCTTGCTGAATGGGCCGGCTCGGCTGGAGTAATACCATGGCCTCACAGAGTAGCGGCGCTGGCTGCGTTGTGTTTCGTCGTGTAGGATGAGGTTTTTGGTAGCCAGAACTTTGTCTCAAGTCCTAAATCCGCAACCCTCAAATATTGACAAAAGAAGCCCACAAAGGCTGGCAACTCATTTGACGTTCTAGGTGTTCTTGGGCGATAACGATTGCTTACCGTTCAGGCGAATCAAATTCCCATTTGCCGAACTATCCCATTAAGAAAACTAGTTATACATACATATAATAAGTCTCCTTAACCGCAATATATCTGTAGATAAAAAGGTGTCACACACAAAGGTTTTACCCCAAGCACTAAAACGCAGCTATTAGTGCTAAGGGTGCTTTGTAAATAGTGTAAGTGCTGAATGTAGACACTTCCTAGGAAATAGTTTAAGTGCTGATCCAAGTGTGAGAGTACAATGATCAAGGTAATGCACTGTGTAGCTACGTAGGTATCTATATGTATATGTCTCCGTATGTTCCTTCGTAGAATCGTATACTTTGATTTCTTTTTATGTAATAGATCGGCAAACGAGCGGACGGATTACCTGATGGTAAGCAATCAGCGCCGTCCATGGACACCCGCAACGGAGAAGTTACGAGAGCGTTGCCAACCTCTTAGGGGTTAGGGTTTTGGAGATTAAGGGATTGGGGAGGGATCGGGTGAGGGGAAGGATTGGGCCTCCGGTAACCTCACTCACACGGCGAAACACAACGCTGTGATGGTTTCACGCCGGTTTTCTGTGAGGCCGTGGTATCACTCCGATCGAGCCGACCCATTCGTGCCGAAGCATGGCTCTCCCATACTTGTGTCCCACGTTTGTCGTGTATCCGAGTAATATCCTACTAATCTTTTAATATTTATAAATGTGAAAACCAACAAAAATTTGTGAAGCAAATAGCTTGACTAAGAGGATTGACCGACAGACTGACACTTTTTATCTTTAAGCTTTGTTTGTCGTTTAAAAGTGCATTTAAGGGTCAAAAGTCAAAATCATTTACTTGAAGTAAATGATTTTGACTTTTGAGTTTGACTTCTAGTTTGTCAGAATGTATGTTTGTTTTTCTTTCACGCAAAAACGGCTGGACCGATTCGATTGAAATATGGTATGTAGATACTTAGGTGATAACCTGGAATTAAGCATAGGCTAGCTATTTATCAACATAGGTACAACTCGGAACAATCACAGAAGCTAGTAGTTGCAAGTTATTTTTTTCCGTAATACTTTATTTTTTCCTATCTAAATAAAAAAATAACCAAGTGACCTAATAATCATTTAAAAATACTCTAACCGGGACAAACTAAGCTGCCTTCCAAACTTATGAAACTAACTTCAATAAACTATAAAAAACTTTAAGCTGCAGGCGATCTTTTCGTAATTAGCTTGAAAATTGTTAATTGCACCGCAGTGGGTTTTAAACAGAAGTATTAAATTAGGTAAGATTAGGTTTATTTATTTTAACTAACGACCCGCTCCGACTTTGCAAGGTTTCAGTGCTGATATTACGATTCTCCACTATTTAAAGGATGTTATTATACATATAAATGAACCTTCCTTTCAATCACTCTATCTATTAAAAAAACCTCATTTTTTGCACTGCACGGTTGGTGCGGTGGCTGGGCAACTGACTGCCGTGCAACGCGTCGCGGGTTCGATTCCCGCACGGAACAACACTTTGTGTGATCCACAAATTGTTGTTTCGGGTCTGGGTGTGATGTATATGTGAAATTGAATGTTTGTAAACGCACCCACGACACAGGAGAAAATTCTAGAGTGGGGCAACGTTTGAATTTGAAAAAAAAAACATTAAAATCCGTTGCGTAGTTTTAAAGATTTAAGCATACCTATATAGGGATATAGGGACAGAACGACTTTGTTGTATACTATATCGTGATTGGTAGCCTAGTCCATCTCAAATACCTAAATTGATTTTGTCTAAGTATAATGTGTAGTATATTTATTACATATATACAAATTTTTAAAACTGAAGTCAGTGCGTTTAATACTGGTGATTAAGAATTAAATAAAAAAAAATTATCTGACTTAAGTACCTATTGTCATATCTACTTTTACTTACTTACTGCTATTTTCGTCATCGTTGTCTGAATTAAGCCAAGCCAAGCTTCTGATAACTCTCATCAATTTAATACAGAGAAAACATATTTACATGAAAGGTACAAAAGTAACAGAAGATTATCACCTGTCAGAACCAATACGGAACAGTTACACTTACATAATGATCCGTTAACCACATCACAATATCACGAACAAATTCTATTTCCCTATTCCTCATCTCATTGCCGGAACTCCGTAAGAAAACCATTTTCTATCTTCCACGCACAATTCGTAAGAAAAGGCCCTTAAATTAGGCTCTATCTTACTCATCGGGCCTTCAAACAAAAGGATTACGATATCTTGTCCATTAAGCAAGGGATTTACCCTACTGTCAACGCCATCTATTGGTATTGAACGAAACGCTGGTTGTTAGAAGAAAAATAATAATAATAATGTTCATCTTGTAAATATTTTCGTTGTGTTGTTGTTTTTTGGAGTTTATTTGTATATCTATGGAAAACTAGAACTAAATAATGAATATTCCGTTCTATTTTAAGGTAATTGAAAAATAACATTACCTAATGTTTTTGAAATGGTTTCCAAATGGTTTTTGAGGACAAAATGTCATAAAATCTTTCAGTTTTTTTTTGCTAAAAGCAGGTGCGTTATGGTTCATTATTCCATATCACCACAAATTCATTTATGTGACAGAATCAGAATTACAATATCCAAAAGTTGCTAAGAAGTGTTTAAAAATGTCTTTGATCTTGATATTATTATCATATTAATGAATGCAAAGAGACTGAAAAGTGCCTAAAAGTTCAAAGCAGTTGTGTCAAACATGAATAAGAGGTCATCCTAAAACCACTTTTCTTTTAGAAAGTGATGACACAAAATGCCTTACGCTTACCTACCACCTGTGAACCATATACCTACTTCTTTGATGAGAAGTCGAAGAATTAACACGATTGAAAGGTTAAGTAGACCTTTCAATAACACATTTGGTGCGTGGGTAGTGTGCTTGGGCTTTGATGAATTAATACTTTCATGGAAAAGAAAGCAATGGGGTTTAGTCAGTAAGAGTCTGACACTCTATCTCGCCTTGCTCTGGGTGGAAGAAGTCAAATATTGATGATGTTCCCCTGCCAAACAAGCTCTTTTCTTAAACTTCAATATTTTAAATTTAAGTGAGAGAGAAAATGTTTATTTTAATAACTATCGTGTGACATACTAAATTTACCTACTAAAAATCGCGGGTTACTCAAGTGTATATACTGAGAAAAAGTCTACTAGTTTCGAGCCACAGAGGGGTTCTGTAGGGCTTTTCTCAGTATATACACGTGAGTAACCCGCGATTTTTTTATTTAAGAGAGAAAATTTGTGTATACTGCATAGGCATGAAAAATACAGGATCTATTGTTAAAATACCAATTTTAAACTTGTGTACTCTGCAAATGGAGATTAAGATAAGCTTTCACAAAGATCACAGCAGTGGACGTCATCGGATATACTACAGATATAGGAAACAATTTTTTTAGGTATTTACGTAAATGTGTCAATTTTAGGTTACCTAGTGTTTTCTAATTCAGACAAAGTTACAATAATCTTATAATAAGGAAGTTTTCCGAAATTCACACCATGCTCATTAGTCATTAAATTAACGTAGGTAAATTAAATGTGCAAGCAATACAAACTGAAACCAAACATAATTATTAAGGTTACAATGGTTACAAAAACACCCACTCATTAGTCAAATTCAAATTTCAAGACAATGAAACTCGGGCAATAATAATTACGACTATGATCAAAGTTAATAACAACGGAAGACAAATTAAAAATGTCAAGGGTATCGTTATCTTGGTTGAATAAACAAAACAAATACTTATTGAGGAAGATATCGGTCTCCGAGGAGAAAATGATTGATTACTGTTTGGTGAACAAACCGTATCGGAGTATCTTACTTACATCAAGGTTGCGCTGAACTGTATCGCTGTAACGCTGGAAAAATATTAAAACAAATAAGAAAAGAAGAAATAAAAGAAAGAAAATTGACATCCTAATTCCTACTAAATTAAGCGTCGGAGAGCCATGCTTCGTCACGAATGGGTCGGCTCGACCGGAGTGATACCCCGGCCTCACAGAAAACCAGCGTGAAACAACTACAACGTTGTGTTTCGCCGTGTGAGTGAGTGAAAAAAAAATTAAATAAAAAATAAAATTTAATTTGTATTAAATAAAAATTTATATTAAAAAAAAATACTAATATTATCAACATTTAGTTTGAAGAACCTACTTTTGTGTAAAATAATCTAAACATTATTATTTGCCTTCTAACTGCATTGGTACCCAAATGATCTGATTAGAAAGAACAGTTTTACTTGGAAATCAGTAGGTAAACCTTATCCAATCAAAGACTTTCAGGTAAACGCAAAAGCCAATTGTATATCTCATTACGTATTCTTTTTTAAACAAGCAGCTTACAACTGTTTTCAAGGAAACAAATAAGAAGTGTAATCCATTATGATATTTCATACATATTCACTCGAATCTGACAGAAGAAATAGGTAACAAAAGAATATAAACTTGCACAGTAACAAAACAACACAACAGGTGGTCGGAGCATTAAATCAGTGGGAAAATAAATTAATATTTTCGCAAAGGAAGGAACTAAATAATCAGGCAGACGATGATACTCTTCGAGTTTCAACAAATAGTCATAGAACAACAACTACTCCCCTTTCAACAGTACAATTCTCTTGATAAATTGTACCGAGTTCCCACAAACAAAGCGCTTTAGACAAGAACGAGCTGTTTCACCATTTACAACGAACTTTAATTGCGTAATCTGATCCTGCTAGGAGTTTGAAGAAATACTCTCAAGTCTTATTACCAACCGACTTCCTATTCCAAGCTGGTTCATTATGGAAGATTCCACGCCAATTGATTTCGATTAGTTGTGTAGAGCATTAGTAGGCTTATGACGTAATCCGATTTGTAGGAAAAGGGTTTAACGGATGTTATAAAAATTATGTAGAACCGTCAGAGCTGGATTTAGAAACAATTTGTGAAACTACAGTGAGTCGTTTGTGCTGAAGTGGAGGCGTCTCGTCGTTTAATATTTCGCGAGCAAAGATTGTAAGCGTCGCGTCGCAGTCGCTCGCGGGAAAGTATGCTCGGAATAACGTTGAAAACATTTTGAACGTACCCTTGAGATTCTGAGTGGTTGGTTTTGATCGGTGCCGCCGTGCATGCGGAAGCCCCACGGCGCGCCGCCTGTCAACTCCACCTCCCTCGCCGTCATCGCCTTCTTTTCACTCCATTGCCTCACAAATTCACAATACACAACTTCACTTCGAACGTAAACTGTCAATGGATTGCCAACATCTCTTCATGTCGTATAAAATATTAAAGCGTAAAGTGGAAGCCCGTAGACGTTTTTTATCACAATTTTGTTATATTCAGTCAATTTTGTGCTGGAAGCTTGAGCGTTGGGGTTTGAATCTGTAACAAAATAACGTTAAATTAGTTACAAGATTACATGATACGGATCCACTTAATAATACTGCGGTAGGTGTACATGTTGACAGACATGACTAATCGCTAAGAACAGTTTAGTAGTTTGAAAGTGAGTAATTACGTCGTTCGGTTCAGCGGGCGCAGTTGCGGGCTTCCGATATTGGAATAGGGAAATAAGATACATCTATCGGCCGGCTCGGTTACTTAATCACCTCTAACAAGTCCGGTGGTATATTTAGTTTTATGAACAGTCATCTCGTTCTTTTAAATACCCCATAAAGAAGTACATAAAATAATCTATACTTAGTCGACAGATGCTGTTACGAGGAACTCGAGATTTGAATGAAAATCGATTAACCTATTTAAAGATGGTTGCTTTGTAGTGTCGAGTAGAATTATCGGTTCAATTAAATCAATTTAATGAAACATCCGATTTCGTATTTCGGTGAAGCGATCGTATTAATTAATGTGGAGGAAATCATAAAGTTTCGTTTTAGCATTTTGATAATAATGCGTACGGAAGCAATTTTAAGGAAGTAGATCAGTAGATGCCAGCGTTTATAGAAATAGAAACCTTAATGATATATTCCATTTAAGGAGTTATTCGTGTTATGACACGATAAGCTAAAGGTCATTTTACAATAAACAAGTAATTTTGGTCACGAGTGACGTTGCAGAAAACAAAAAATTGACAGCAAAGTTACGATTTTCAAACACTGTACCTTCAAAAACTATAATGAATTTTGAGTACGGCATTTAAGCGTAACTAGGTAAAGAGCAGCGTCATAAACTAAAAGTAATTTTATTTGTAGCGAGGTCGGCTAGCAGCTGTATTATTTTCAGAGTATGATGCACCATAGAGTATGAAGGTCACATAGTCTTGTACTCTTGTATGAATCATTTTTTAATTTACTTCCAACATACATATTTCTAATACAAAGTACGACTTTGTAATATAATGGTTTGCTAGAGGTTTTGGGCTCGAAATTGGAAGCTTGAAATGGAAAGTCTTTGTGAGACATATAGTATAGTTAGTTAATGACTTAAGATGCCAGATTAAGAGCCACCATTTGCGGTCTAAATATTCGAGGTTGAGGCATTTTGGAATAAATTGGAGATGAGGGAGGGGGTTCTTAAGTAACCTTCATATATGGCGAATCATTAATGAAGGCGTTATTTCACGTCAGTTTTTTGTTAGTGATATCACTCCGATCCAGACATATGTAGATAGAAAGATGGCTCTTCGTTTAAAATTTAATAAGAACAATATGTTTACATATTTTTCTGTTAAAATAATTGGTAATTGGAATAAAAACTAAATTGTTACAAACTCATTATTAAGATAAGCTGTTCAATATTCAATATTCAAATCTTTCTTTTTAACAAAATTAAGTTAGACTAACAAACTAATTGTAAACTAACACCAAATTTCCAAAACGAACACAGGTGTCCATACGATGGCAATTTATCAATAATTTACCAATTAAGGTTGAAATTCGCTCAGCAAACGTGTCAGGGGAACGGATAACCGCATACGAATTTGACCACAATGTTCCAAGCGGGATCTAACTGAAACGTTGCGGTTATTCCGGCTGCAAGTGAACACCACTCTATTTGACAAATGCGTAAACATGCGCCCTGTTACCGTGACACAATGCACGTTACACCACTGGCTACTCTTTGAAATTAAATTGCGATGGATAGTCACGGTGGTCCGGGGTTTCGAAACCTGGCAAGTATCATTGTGACTTTTTCTGAGTTATATGTATTGTGCTTTTTATTTTTCTATGATTATTTAGACACCACTGACAAACGGTGAAGGAAAACATCGTGTGGAAACCTGGACTTATATTTTCTAATTATTAGTTTGAAAATGCCAATCTGCCTTGGGCAAGCGTGGTGATTAATGCTTAAATCTGCTCTTTGTGAGGAGAGGCCTTTGCCCACCAGTGGGCACTTATACGAGTAGGCTGATAATGGTGATATGTGAATTGCTAACCGCGTTGCAAGGATATTGTGAAACCAATGACTACGACGACGTTTACCAAACTATTTGGCATCAGATACACAACTCCCTTATTACCCAATCCGGCGGGGTACCACACATTATGGAATAGGAGGCAAACGAGCAGAAAGATCACTTGATATTAAGTGATTATCGCTACCTATTGACACCTGCAACACCAGAGGATTCACATGCGCGTTGCCGGCCCTTCAAAAAGGAGTACGCTTGTTTTTTTAAGTTGGTCGTATCTTTTCAGAAATACCGCTGTTCGGCTATTGTTGCTCTTATGGTGATGTTTTATGTTTAAACGTATATCTTATGGCTATAGAAATTGTCGATAAATAAATGAACTATTCAACACAAAAATGTTTTTTTTTTAATCGAACAATCACTTCCGGAGTTTTATCGCGTTCAAGCGAAAACAAATAACTGTACAGATTTATAATATCAGTATAATGAATCACTTTTTACCGTCTCTTGATACAATTTAGTCCAATTTTTTTGTAAAAGTGTAGTAATACGGTATTTTCCAACTAGTTCAAATTCAATACTTTTATCCAATTGTCAAAAACGATACTTTTCTATGAAAGTTGTATGAAATATTGAGTTATGACGTCATCATTGGTCATGTTTACGCATCAAAAAGCTTACTTATTACTTAAAAAATAGCAAAAAATATGAAAAATTTAGTGTATCGATCGATCGATGAATAAAAGTAGATATTAATGTTATTTTTCAATATTATATTTTAACTTCCCAATTGTTGGCGCCATAAAGATATTAAATTAAATGCTATAAACAAAACGTAACAGATAAACAATAGAGAAACGGACAGTAGTTGATTTACACGCCAATATAAATTAACCAATTAACTTTTAATTGCTCAATTGATTGAAGCCGTGTTCGGTGCTTTGCAAGGAATGTCTTCCAATCGATGTCATAATTGGTCTTTTGATAGTTTTTATCGTGCGTTTCATATTACGAAAGGGTTATGGGGTTAATTCCGTACCTCTTTGATCAAAACTGGAACCCTGAACGGTAAAAACTGGTGGAAGACAATTCAAAAAGAAACGTGCAAATAAATATGCCTACTTAAGTTACCTCTGAGTTTTATTATAGTATTTCATTTGTTGTTCAGGAAGAAATGAATATTTTTTTAGCTAGTAAAACATCTGATCATATTCCATATGCTTTATAAATACATAGTATAAAATGAAGTCACTTTTTCTGTCCGTATGTATGCTTAATCTTTAAAACTATACAACGGATTTTGATGCGGGTTCTTTAATAGATAGAATTATTAAAGAGGAAGATTTATATGTATGATAACATCAATTAAATTATCGACCAATTACAACGCAATTAAATATAAGTTTTTTTTAAACGATTCCGATAGTTTTTTCTCCTATGTCGTGGATGCTTTTACAAACATACAATTTCACATAAACATTATATTCTTCCTTATATAAATATATAAGGAAGTAAGAAGTAAATTAGAAAATAGGCCATAATTATCATGTTGTGCAATGCACTGACCAATGACCCTACTCTACCGGTACCTATCATCTACATTCCTGCCGGTGATGTAAGGAGTCCAGAGGTTATCGATTTGATGGGCAAGGGCGGCCATCTGCGCAATTATAAGTGACAGTTACCTAGAACTGTTATACCTAATTGTAATTTATTCGAAATTTAAATTGCATTTGATTTGTTTAGACTTGTTTAAAAGCTCAGCAAGAAGGTCTGTTGATGTCTTTTGTTCTTTTTTTAAATTTAATCATTAACGATTAATGATAATGTTTTACCAAACATAATATTATGTATTCGAACTCTTTAGTTGAATGGCAATTTATACCTTATTAATTATTATAACGAGCCTTATTAATTTAAAATACGTTTAACCAGGTTGATAAAAAGCAGCCTATGTGTTACTCCAAGATATCTACTTATTCTATTCTATTTTTTGTTAAATATTATCGCGGTTTATACGTAAATTATAGTGCATGTGGTGCTCTTCTATAAGTGATGAGGCACTTAGACTTAAGCTTAATTGTAAAATCACAAATGTAACAGTGTAATCATTGATGAAGAGCCAAATAAAAAAAAAATAAAAATAAAATTATAACCCATATAGTCCAGCCGTTTTTGAGTCAAAGAATAACGTTCATAAAAAACTTTTACATCGATTATATTAAGTAGGATAGTCGTACAAATTGTAGAATGTTGTCATTCGGCTTGAGATGGTTTTATCTTATTTAATGGAACCTCGTGATTCTCAGCTTTCTTCCACAAAACATTTGAAGGGAACTGACACGATATTGTGAACGGGCCCCAATATACGTCAGATGTGTGACTGACATGTGAATAGGTCCGTGCACAACATACCAGTATCCACAATTTCTTAAAATTCCTATTTATCCTGATATCTTTACTTTAAAAAACGTATAAGAATGTCTTTTTAATTTTTGTAGTCTAGCACAAGTATTTAAGTCGTTGAAACAAAATGTTTGGACTCGTATAAGATGGACGGATTTCTTTATCTTCATCCGTTACTTCCTTAATTTTTTACACTTTTCCTGAAACAAAAGTTAGTCCTAAACCTTCAATCAGCCAGGGTTGTGGGGCAAATCAGCCGGGGCTACGGAGCAACCGCAATAATCAAATGCGGTATAGAGCAGGAGAAGAATCAAATGAAATGATTTTTAGTCAGTAAAATCTAATAATCCCTCTCGCCCCATCCAGGTCAAAGAAAGTCATATTTTAATAATCTACCCGCCTCCCTCAAAAAACCTTGCAATGCTTACGCGCTTATAACCAATTGGCTACATATTTTTACCCGAACTTTCAGAAGACCAGCGATGAA